AACACAAGACGGTTTTCTATCCCAAACTACAAAGTCTCCATTTTAGCTGAAGAGCTGCCCGGACCTGTTGCAAAAACTTCTTACGATAAATCATTCCCATCAATTCAATTTTGACTATTATTACTCGAGAAAAAATGAAATATCTTGCAAGTTTTTGTTGATGCGAAGGTTAGCATCAACAGACCTCTTATAAACGGGTCAAATATACAATGCTGCTTCGTATAAAACTACAGTTCTACATTGTTTGCCGTTATATTTTCTTCTGCAAAGTTCGGTATTTTAACGACATCACTAAACTCCTATGCCGTTTATGAGCACAAAGAGGATCGAACAGTTATGCAATTATCTTCTGGCAAAAAACTTTTGGCTGCGGGTTGAATAGAAACTCTGCTCCCTGATCTTGAATTAATCTTTTAAATCAACACTTTTGTAACATTTTATTTTAGGAGCTTTACCATTACATAAGTCCACTTGAGTGTCCTATGAAGAATACATCATCCAAAGCAAGCTTAACCAAAGATTTTAGAAAAACAGGGAGGATGATGCTGAGATTGTTAGTGCACCCGTAAACAGTAAATCTATGACTTTTCCAATCCTTTGAAGCCTAGTCTACAACTTCAAAACCGTACAATTTGAAAGAACTGCAATGAATTACTAAGGTTCCAAAATTTTAATTCGTTTTACACTATTTCTTTCTGATTTAACTTGGCGTTAACTACATTCTTGAAACCTCCTGCTATAATGTTTTTAAAATTACTAAAGAAGAGAGCTAAAACGAAAAATTTTTTTATTAATTAGAAATTCAGAAATTGGCGCAGTTTTTTTTAGAGAATGGACGCAAGATAAAAAGCCAATGACGCGTTTGTTACCCCGCGTCATATGCTTGGCACCTGACTTCGTAAATTTTTACTGTCCCTTCGCGTTCTTCTGTCGCTTTTTTTTTTTTCTTTTTCCACTGACTATATCCGCTGAGACACTGAAGACTTTTTCAGTTAAAGGTTTGCAGCAGTCACTTGACCATCTCAAAAACAATCTTACTTCTCCAGTGATACTTGGTATTAACAATTGCGCCTGTAGTTAATGAACGCTGATCCGATTCCAACTGACCTGCATGTGAATTGTCGACGCCAACACAGAGTCAGTCATATATTGGCTTACTGAATTATGCAAGAGTTTACTGTCCCTATTCCGCTTACTTCCTACAATTTGTCGGAACAGAGCCACCTGTGGAACTAAAAGGCATTTTTTTGCTCAGTCTATAATTGATAATTTCTTATGGGAACAGCTCATGCGTATTATCCGTTGGAAAGTTTCGCAAGAGAAACAAAAAAGAAGTTTGGGACAACAGCATTTTTCTGCATCCGTTTGGAAGGGCACTAGTTTTATCACAATTTGGCTCTAACAGTATTAGCACTGTTCACTACCATAACACCTACCATAATACAGAGATGTCTGGAGGAAAAGGAGGCGGAGAAGGAGAAGGAGAATTTTTAGTGTTATGAAGAAGAATTTTTACTACAAATCATACAGAACTATAGTTGGTACTGAGGTAACCAATCCAAACTTCAGAGGTTCAAAACAACACTATAAAACGCCCTCATACTTATTGGTCATCTCTTATCTGACGTTCACAAAGCCTTTGTTGTACATTCTTAAGCTGTTGTGTTGCTGATGGTGTGTTTCTGTTGTTTCTGTCTTTTTTGTTTTGCCTACCAGAGTCTTTTGCTGATTGTTTCACAGCAAATATAATAAATGGTGATTTTTTTTTTCTCGTTGCTAGATGAATGGTATGCGAAGAATTGTTCACCGTTGATGTTCAGAATGGTTTTGCAACAATAATTTTGTGCCTAAATTAATTTATTTCTGTTACGATTCTTTTTTTTTCCCCCTTGCTTAACTTTTTAAGAGTTATTATATTTTAATTTATCCGCAGGTATGCTGTTCCTGCGTCACCTTTTTTTAGTTTATGTTTGGTTTAATTTATGCATAAGTTGCAGTTTACCTTACACGATCACTGAGTGCTACTAATGCGCACTACAAAAAATGTATTTCGTCATCGACTTGCATTCATTTTTTCCACTGACGGATGATGACTGTTCCCCACCATTTACGATAGTTTCACTCATCTCCTCTGCGCTTGTTAACTTCCTAATATTTTTGCTTTGGTACTGCGGTTTCAATTTTTCTTGCAATTCTTAACACGTCATGTAATCCATTAGTCCCCTATAATGTTGCTTAACTGACTACTTAGAAGTCGCTTTTACAAATTCAGTTTCATAAGTAATACTTGAAAAAAACCAGTTTATGCTGAAAAAATTGTTCACTGTGATAAAGCGACTATTGAGGATCCTCGTTTCTGGCGAACAGCTGATTGCCATAATCGATCAACAGTTTTATTGTCCCATTGCTTCACTATTGCTTAGATCCACCTTTAACAGTCACTCGCTTTTAAAGATTGTTTTGGCGACAGAAACTGAAAGAGGCTGGCAGGTTTGCTGGTTACTTTCGTCTTTTTATCATGTGCCCAGTTGTTAGTGCTAACCACCAGTTGACTTGACCAACTTCTTCAATTTTTACGTGACTAATAACTATCTATTCCTGACTTACTGGTGAGGTAAAACATGTTGCTGACAAAATCTTCATAACCATTGGATGTACGCGCAATGTGCTTCTGCTGTAACGACTTCTTTAAAAACCAGTTATGCTGAAAAAATTGATCACTGTGATAAATCGACTATTGAGGATCCTCGTTTCTGGCGAACAGCTGGTTGCCATAATCGATCAGCAATTTTATTGTCCCATTCCAAAGATATACATTCACTTTGAACATGTCTGCTAAAAAATCTCGAAGGTTCTGTACAAAAAGAACGTAATGTAAAGCCCTTCACCGGCTGAATATCATGTGTAGTCGTGAATCATAAAAGTTTCTTAGACGGATACTACTGGTAGCAGCTTCTGTTGCATATCTTATTCCAAAGTGCTTTTTACCTTTAGCGTGTTTAGACTACAACTTTTTTGATGGTTTTTATTTATTTTTTTTTTTTATATTGTTTCCACTTTTTTTCCATCCACTTAAGGATTTTTTTTTTTTGGTAGTCCGGCTCTATTGCAGTTAATATTTCCACTGCCCTAACATGCGTTTCTTATTTTGTTGAGAGGGATGGATTACGAGCGCAGTAACATAAGCATTACTGCAATAGCAAAAGTTTCCAGGACAGCGAGGAGTGTAGCATCACAGGCGAATAAATTTAGTATTATGCAGTTAAAAGGTGCAGCTGTTCATTTCACTAGGTGCTGATGGGTAATCGGTATTGTGGGGTATTGTAAAGTTTAAAGTACAACTTAAAAACTATACAGATGAGAAGTTAGAAGTGTGAAGGGAAACTTAAAGCGAAATACCTGTGACCTTTTTCAAAGTTCTTCTCATTGCTCGGGAATCCGACAGCAAAGGATTTTAGAACAGAGGTTTTGTGTGAAATAGTGTCCACATTTTCTTATATTGTTGTAAAACTTATAAGAGTAAAAGGCTCAATCTTTGTTTCTCAAAGTAAGGGTATGGTAGACCGTCATGTCCTTGACTAGTGAAGTTTGACTCAGGTGAAATAAAAAAATTTTAGGTAAGAAAATAAGCCATATACGTGCTTAATAGTGAAGGCATTAAATCGCTGTAGCGAAAACACCCCAATTTCGTAGACTTCCCTTGGAGGACTGTCTTCTGAGCCGCAGCGCCCGTCAGATGCGTACCACCTCCCATAATCCACATCGACAGAGGTAGGTGGTGGTACTCAAATGGTTCGTTGGTTAAGGGTTTAAGTTTCGGCCGGGCTCCTCTTGCAGTTAGAATTTACAGTAATTCTACATCACTTTGATGTCCAGAAGGTTCCTCTTGCGAGAAACCGTAGCGCATGTTATGAAAGATGTGGAACCAGGGAGAGCGGGGGCGGTACAACAACAACGGCTAGTTATGCCGAACAGGTCAGTTGATCAGTTCGTGTTCACAAAGAAGTCTGGAGCGATTAGTTTCTAAGTAATTTTTTTTAAATTTTAGAGAGTACACTGTATTGGGAGATGTGGCATAAGTGAACACGTCGGTTGTCTATGCAGTGATACATCGTACTATCTTTTGGAAAAGTCGCATTTACGATTGAGTTTCTTTTGTTACATTAGGTTTTTTTTTCTTCGCTTAGTATTGCAAACATTATTCATGGCGTTGTTATCGCGGTTGGTTTTGCATGTTTTTGGTGCTAGAGATATAAGAAATGAATTAGCAACAGTTGTTGTTCTAATGGCAGTTAAAAGGTGGCTTTGGTAGCCGAGTCGGAACATTTGTTTGGATATTTGATGCATCTGTTGAAAAAAGATTTATTTTGCTATAACTGACCGTTAGGTTCATGCAAACACTCAGAAAAAATGCAATTTTTTTTTAAAAGTATGAATTATATGCGCTTTTTATGAGACAGTAGAGAGCTTGTTTGTTGGTATTCGCAGGCCAGTGTTTAAATGTAGCCGTTTTGGAGATGCACGAACGGTATCTTGGTGGCAGGTTGGCTGCCCGGTTGAAGCTGTTTCAATTGGATGTTTGTTAGATATGGCAGTATCGATCAAAATAGTTTTTTTCATGTTACAACTGTTTTTCACGGTGGAACCAGGTCAGCTGGTTTCCTGCTGTTCAAATGACTCTGTCTGTTTCATCTGTTTCGTCCTCTTCTCATTTTTCGATGTTTTTTTTTCTTTGCTATCTTTTTTAACGGAGATCGATTATTCTTGGTTCCACTAACTCAGTTGGCCAGGGTCCTCTACTTTTTTTTCTCCTTTTAAAATGGTTAAAATAAATTTTTCAGATGTTTTTCTAAAACTTATCGTTAGATGACTGAAAAGTATCTATTAGCTGTCACATTTATAGTAAGATTTTACAGAGAAGTTTAAGAGGAAGAACTTGTTAACTGGTTTGCCTTCAGAATATCTGCGTCGGGGAAGATATTGAAATCGCCTAACTTTAGACTGTCATCGTCGTCGGTTATACTTATTCGGAATGAAGGTTGTAACGTGCTTTAATTCAGAGAACACCGGATTTTGATTTATTGTACTTTCAAGTGGTTATCGGGAGGGGTAAAATTTTTCAAGCGTTTTGGCGATAAGCTTTTTCCGACTAATATTTGAGGTCTATTTTTCCAAAAGGTTCGCAGACCTTTCTGCTCCTTGAAGTTCACTTGTAACAGTTTCGTATTCTGCTAACTCCTGGAAGTTTTGTGCGCTCAATGTTTTTAGCTTCACTCATGCCATCGCACTAATTTTATTCAAAAAGAAAAGAGGTGAAGGGTTGTTGGTCGTCATTACTTTACTTTCAATTGATATGTAAATTGTTTTTACGATTCTGTAAGTTTTAATTGTAAGTGTTTCAGTTAAACATAATAGGGGTAAAATGCACAGGTTGAGCTTTGTTTACATTGTTGTATAGTGATTTGATATGCATCAATAAGGATGTTTTATTTTGAGTCTGAGTAGAAGAAAGCTTAAGGATGATTGTTATTCTACTGTAAAAATTAAGTTGTTAGATGTTCATTGAAGCAGATAGAAAGAGCATGCTTGATTAGATTTGAAGAACTCTATTTTCTTTGTTTAAGTCGAACAGTCACTGGGAGCAGCAGGTGGAATTTGGGCATAAAAGTTGTTTAGAGTGATGGCCTCAGGTTCTAAGTTTGTGTTTTTGATTGCTTTTGTTCATTATTTTTATTTATTTTTTTCAAGTTGAATATAATTTGCAATTCAAATATCTCGCTTTGTTGTTTTGAAGCTTTTCAGTGTTAATTTCTGTGCACGTGTGTTTTAGAGTTAAGACAGTCGAAACGAACTGTGTTATGGATGTAGATCCGCCTTCCCACCAAGTCTCGAAGAGGGACGAATCATATTCTTTACCAGGTTTAATCTTGTTTAACCGTAGTGAGATTTCAAAGTTTTATGTTTTATGCTAGCTTTGAAACTGGACAGACTAAAAGTACATTTAGTACACCTTTTTTAGAGAAAGTATTGCATTTGTTGTTGCATGAAGCTTGTTGTTATTTTATCATTACTTTCAGATAAACCGGTTGCTGGTCGGCGATTGAAACAAGCGAAATCTCTTCCAATTGTTGTGAACGGATATATTCTGGACGTTTCCAATGCTGTTGATTTGGTTTACAAGTACGAAGTGAAATTTTTAGGAATAAAGAAAGATGGGAAAGAAAAAGACTTGAGTCGTGGGCCAAAGAATGAGTGAGTTTTATGTTAACCAAAATCTCCTAATATCTTTACAGAGCACAGGATTTTGTGGATAAGATCAGTTTTTGTAATTGGTGACAGTTTTTGGTTTCAGCGTTGCAATCGCTTTGCGTCGTTGTGCTTTGTGGAGGATATATCAAACGTTCTTGCATGAGTACAGGGACTTTTTTGGTACAGACAGGTTCCGGTGCTTTTACGACTGTGGCATTAACTTCTATTCCATCGACAAACTTTGCACGAACGAAGAAGGCGAGAAAAATTTCAAACTAGAAATGGTTGCGTTTTAGTTCCTTGACGTTCCGATGAGACCTTTGGTTACTTAGTTTTTGACGGCGTTTCTAGATTCCATAGTTATTTCAATCTATGCTGTTGGGAAAGGTTCACCGTCTGTTTTGCTTGTGCCTGAGTTAGGTGTTTGGGAATTGTCTGGTAGTTGATTGATTATTTAACATTTTATTATGTATTTTAAATTATTTAAGGAGTTTTTTTCACAAGAAGTCAGAGACTTTCTGCCGAAAATCACCGGAGTAGTCTGTAAGCTTCTGGCTGTTCAAGAAGTATTTTTGCATGATATATCAGCTGTGTCGCTTAGGCTTAGTGACCGTGAAAGGTCTACTACTCAGTTTTTGGAGATAGCTACTAACCAGATGTTACTTGACAGGTATATTCCAAGTCTCTTCGTGTTTTGCGTTATAGCGTTTTAGGATTTAGAGGCTTTTTTTAGGCAAAGTCATTGGATTTTTGGGAACAAAAGTTACGTTCCACCAACAGCGCAAAGTATAGACAGACGTTCAAGACTTGGGGGCGGGAAGTTCCTTGTACCTGGAATGGAAAAGAATGTCCGATTCGTCAGTGACAGGGCTGAGGAGATATCTCTTATGGCCCAGATAAACGGTACTAGTTTTTATTCCGTTTCTTTACAACTTAGGTGTTATCTACTTGGTTTGGGTCATACGCTGTTGCATTCCTTCTGTAAATTGCAGCAAAAAAGTCACCTTTCTTTGACAATCAAAACCTCGTTGATTTGGTCGCAGAGGTCATTAATAGAGGATCACTTATTGATATCATTAAGGACCCACATCTCGCAGTCAGGGTTCAGCGTCAGCTGAAAGGTAAGTTTATTTAGTCACCTTTTGTAATGCGTGTTTTTATTCACAACTCGGGGACAAACATTAATTTTTTATTTCAAATTAAGGGAGGGTTTCGAAATACTTGGCTGTTTGCTAGGGTTAGGATAATGAAAAAGCGGAAGGCCGGAAAGTGCTGATCAGCAAAGGAGATGGTTGATTTTTATGGGTTTATTTAAGTTTCTTCTTGGAGGGCATCACTTAGCCTATTATGCTTGAATACCTTAAGGGTTAATTATCCCCGATTATTGTTTTTCTAGATCTTGTGGTCCAGACCACTCATGATGCTGAGCACCCGAGGCATTTCGCTATTTTTGGAATCACGAAACAGAGCGCTGAAGAGTGAATCTTTCTTGGACATTGGTGACAGTAAAATTCATTATCTCATTAGAAGTAAACCCTTTATTTGCAGGATAAGTTTTGAACTTCAAGGCCAGCAAGTATCCATCGCCCAGTATTTTTTGAAAAGATACTGTTATCGTTTACGGTATCCGGAGTTGCCATGTGTGGTCGAGAGACGGTATTCAGAGGCCAAAAAGACGATTCAAAATAATTTTTACCCGATGGAGGTTTTGCATGTGTGCCCTGGCCAACGTGTTTGTAACAAAAAGCAGACGCCTGATATGGTACACTTTTGATTAGGGAGTTGAGGGGTTTTTTGGTAAATGAGTGGAATGTCGCAGCGCGTTTGGCGATGTAGGAAGTGTCTTTTCTTATTTTTTAGTCGCAAATTTGGTTTTTGTATCTTGTACCTTTTCGCCTTTCCTGCATCTGTCCCACTCCGTTATATAATTCATTCCTGAACTTTTGAATTGGATAGTTTATAAATTTGGGAAAGGAAGGTGTTAAGTACAGGTAGCTTATGCGTTCTACCTGATTTACTGGAATTCAGGTAGAAAAGATGATAAATGCTTGTCGTCTGCTGCCACAGGAGCTCTTGGTTGAAAATGAGAAACAGAAGAAAAGTGCCTACTTAAACTCCAGCAACAGTTATTTGGAGATACTTGGAGTACTGTTTTTTCTTTTTATTTCTCGGAGGTTAATTTTTGTAAGTTACGTAAATGTTGTGTTGGAATGGGTCTTTGAACCTGATTTGCTTGCTGCTTTTAGATCAAGGTTTCCAATTCCCCATTAGACGCGGAAGCTACGGTTCTTTTTCCTCCGGCCATTGCCTATAGGGATGGAAAGATCGAGCCGAAGCCGTCCGGAGATTTGGATTGGAGGTTGTCGGTACCTCGTGGAGGACGACCTCAGGTCTTCTTGCGTCCGGCAAATTCCCCAAGACGTTGGGTCGTTATTCTTTTTCAAGACGCACTTACGGAAGCGAAATTTGAGTTCGTTATCTTCACCAGTTGTATTTTTGTATGACCTTGTTGAGCAGATGTCGCTAATTGTGTTGCACGACTTTCTTCTGTTGTAGCAGGTTCGTAATAGCATTTGTGACGCGTGCGAAGGACCACGGCATCAATTTAAATGACCCGTCGCGCAATATTAAGATGGACCGTAAAGACGGGCAAGCAGTGGATGAGTTAATGCAAAAATTAAGGAAGAATTGTGTGGAGTTTGTTCTGTTTATTACGACTGAAAAACGCGACCCAGTTCATGGTAAGGTATCGCCAAAGCTTGCTAGAGGGTAGACTTGTTTTCTTATAGAGAATATTAATAGGTTTTTGCTAAGTTGATGAGACAGTGAGTGATTTTAAGTCATAGCCTTGCATATAATGCGAAGGCTTGAATCGTTCTAGATAGTATGAAGCTGGCAGAGGCAAAGTATAACGTTGTTACGCAGCACATTTGTTCACAGACTGCTGAGAAAGCAATTTCAAATAGAGGCGCAGAGATGACGCTGGACAACCTGGTTATGAAATTTAATTTGAAGACTGGAGGTGTTAATCATGGATTAAGACCTTCACTGGAGTTTATAAGACAGAATAGAATTGACAGCGGGATGGCGTATGTTTTATCTTTTGTTTTGTGCTTTGTTGGCTTTGCCCTACTAGTTTACTATGAGATGTGTATACTAGCTGCTTGCATCATTAGTTGAATTCAGTGAGCGTGTCTGGCTGTCTCCGTCTAGAATGTTCGTCGGGTTGGAAATGTCACATCCTGCAGCGCAGTCGCTTTATGAACGGATGTCTGGCCAACCACCCAGTGAACCTACATGTGTTGGTGTAAGCAATATATGAAGTGTTTTTAAAGCGGTTTCCAAAAATGGTTGAGATGAAACGCTCTGTAGTTAAGTTCCACCTCACCAGCACCGAGTCTTACCCAGTTGGGATGAAGTTGAATCATAATGCTTTAGATGGCGTACAGTCTGGGTGAAATTGTTAAAATGAAAGGGGATTATTGGATGCAGCCACCGCGGAAAGCTATCGCCGAGGATCTTGAGCAACATATGGTAAAGGCGTTAAACAGCTTTAAAGTGGAAAGTGGAACAAAGTCATATCCGGAACGAGTTGTGGTTTACCGGGGTGGGGTTTCGGAAGGAGAGTACTTGAAAGTATGTTACTGTTGTTTTTTACGTTTTGATTTTATTCCGATAGACAAAATCATATTTGCATTTCTTAAGGTTTTATTAACTGAGAAGTTCTCATGAGCTTTTTTTAATATCTCACGGTGATCAGAAGGCTTTCACGAGCGACTTGACTCAAGAATAGGACCAGTTCTGTTTTTCATTAGTTTTTTTCTTCAATTCTGTTTCTTCAGGTAATAAAAGATGAAGCGGATTCCATTAGAAGGGCTTTTGAGAAGGTGTTGAACAACAGTGAACATTTAAAGATCAAATTGACTATCATTGTTGTTCAAGCAAACTCGAATTATCGCTTATTTCAAAAATCGTCTGCGGAGGGAGCTGTTAAAGGAAGTACCGCGTTTGGCGGACATGGGGAAAGCGGAGGTTTTAGGAGAGGTGGACCAGGAGTGCGTGGAGGTTTTAGTGGATTAAACAATGCAGCTGCTCAAAATCTTCCACCCGGTACTTGCGTTGATCAGTCAGGAGTTCATCCGACACATACGGAGTTCTTACTTATTCCCCACAAATCTGTGATGGTCTGTTGAAGTCGTGCTACTTGCGCTTGTTCTTGTGGTTTTAAAAGAGGTCCATGTTTTTTTTTT